GTTTCATTTTTTTCATGCTAGGCTCTTCTGTATTAACCTTCTCAGCTGAGACACTGCATCCTCTGTCTAAAAACTTATCAATTTTAAAGAGTCTTAGCATTTATCAGCGTTCATGGCTAATCGTTCTGTGCACTAGTACATCAACAGAGTGTTTCCGTAGTTATTTTTAGATATTTATATTTTTTAAATACATCATAGTTTACATAGATTGACAATTCAGATTTACATACAGGTAAAATAATTTTTTATAATAATTTCTTAATCTAGATTCTAGAATTTCTATGCGGCCCCCCTAGCGCCATCTGGTGGCCCCCAGTTTGAGAACCACTGGTGTAGACAGCATCACTGATTATAATGAGTTCCATAGTATTTTGTCGTGCTGCACCACTCGAGTCTGGTGTAGACATGGTGTAACATTGGTTCCCCTTCAGGAACTCGAGCTACGTCGAGATTCGCTTTGGGAACGCCCTTGCGTGACCGCGTTCTGAAGCACGTGTCAAATCAGTCCAATGGAGCAGCGAGACATCACGAGCAGGGTGATGTAAGCACCAGAAAGCATAAAAGCGCATCCGGCAGGGCGCAAACCAGCTTCTGCTCTTCAGTAGCGCTCTGTGTATGTGTCTGTCTATTTACTGTTGTCTGTCCGCACAAGCACTCATATATATAAAACAATGAGAAAGTCTATGGCGAGCGAACGGCAGCACAAATACTGTGTTCCTCCCTGCCCACGATATCTGACGGCAGGGGATACACACGATTTGTGTGTCGTTTGTTTGGGAGCGGAGCATGCACATTCAGCTCTCGAGTGGGCTGATTGTCGTGACTGCGAGCTGCTCTCGCCTGGCCATGTTTGATGAGAGCGGCCAGGCTCACGATCCCGCTGGCAGCGGTCCCGCTGTTGCCGAGGCACAGCGCAGACTGTTGTCGTGGGGATCCGAGACGGGCTCGTCCTTTTCTCGGTCCTCACCCACTAGATCCGCGGATCTCTCTCTCACGATTCGGAAGCCTGCGCTGCGGTTTCTCTCCTCCTCCCCCCCAGAGAGAGAGCCAGACGCTTCATCTATCTTCCTCC